GGGGGTAGCGCGGGGCGACCAGCTCGAGTCCCGCAAGTGTTATGTTGCCGCCCTAAAGGGAAAAACCAAGGTGACCGACGACCTCGAACTGGAGCGGCCTGCGGAGCAAGGCGAGGAACGAGCTTCACCCACAGAGGAAACGGTCGCAGTCCCAACTTCGGCTACAGACCCAGCTTGCACACTACAAATTGGTGCTTCCGTCGAGGAACCCCTACGAACCGAACTGGTGAGTTTTTTACTTCAAAATTTAGATATTTTTGCCTGGTCCGCGGCCGACATGTCCGGTATTAGCCCCGGCCTGATAACTCACAAACTTAATACTGACCCTGTAGTCAGACCCATTAGACAAAAGAAACGCAACTTAGCCCCAGAGCGTTGGAGGCGGTCGATGAGGAGGTCGAGAAGCTCCTCGCATCAGACTTCATAAGGGAAGTCCATTACCCGAGCTGGGTAGCCAACCCAGTGCTGGTGAAAAAGGCAAACGGCAAGTGGYGCATGTGCGTCGACTACACYGACCTGAACCGAGCTTGCCCGAAAGATTGCTTCCCCCTCCCTAGGATTGACCGCCAAGTGGACGCGACCTCGGGACATGAGTTGCTAAGCTTCCTAGATGCCTACTCAGGCTACAACCAAATCAGGATGGACCAGTCCGATGAGGAAAAAACGAGCTTCATAACCGAGTTCGGCCTATACTGTTACAAGGTCATGCCCTTCGGATTAAAAAACGTCGGGGCAACCTTCTAAAGACTTGTAAATAGGTTATTTCGGCCCTTAATTGGCACGAAGATAGAATGTTATGTAGACGACATGATTATCAAGACATAGTTTTCACAAGAACTAATACAAGACTTAGATTCTGTCTTCCAAATCCTGCGTCAATTTAGCATGAAGCTGAACCCTAACAAATGTGTCTTCGGTGTCACATCGGGTAAATTCCTAGGGTACATTGTCAACCGGTGCGGTATTGAGGCCAACCCGGACAAGATAAAAGCCATCATATATATGAAACCACCCCGGAAAGTAAAAGAAGTTTAGAGGCTAAACGGCCGCATAGCCGCTCTAAGCCGCTTCATGTCCAARTYRGYAGAYCGYTGCCTACCCTTCTTCAAAGCAATCAAAGGCAAAGGGTTCGAATGGACCCAAGACTACCAGCTCGCGTTTGACGAGCTAAAAAGTTACCTCGCTAGTGTGCCAACCTTAGCCCGGCCCG